CAGGAATCTGTAACTGATGGCTGTGAGAATGAATAATTTAACTATATGCTCACATAGGCTAGAGAGAAAGGATGATCTGAACTGGGATCAAGAGACCTAGTTTCAGTTCCCAGCTCTGCCATGGACTCCCTTGGGCAAATTGCTTAATCTCTTTGTGCCTCAGTTCCCCATCTGTAAAACGAGGACAAGGGAAGTATTACTATTCTACCCTTTGTCTGTCTTGACTGTGTAGATTGTAAACTTTGCATGACAGGGACACTCTCTCATTCTGTGTATGTATAGGGCCTCATTCAACGAGCCCCCTATTTTGGTTGGAACTTCTAGGCACTAAAGTAATGCAAACAATAAATAATAATTACACAGAGACAGATATCAATAGTACAGTCCATAGATTACAGATAGAGGTTTAGTAATGACATCAATATATCATCAAGAATCAATCTGATCACTGTTAGAGTCCTTTTGAGAACCATCCTGTTGTGGCGCATCACGACGACCTAGAAGTTGTTACATTTAGTCATACCATCGGAACACCAATCATTTCAACAAGACTTAAAGTGCTATAGACAATAACCACTAAATTATGGTAAGCAAAACAAGAAAAACCATAATGAGAAGCAAGAACATTAACTATACTGTTTAATGTTTCTGTGGGTGACCACAATTACTCCAAGTTTGCTGGAAATAACTTGTCCCATCACATGTCCATATTACAGATTGGATTATTCTGAAGAGACACATGCCAAAATATCACAAAAAATCATTCAAGCAGAGTATTAACTTTGTTCAATGGATTTAATTATCTGGCACTATACTGAACCTTGGCAAAATATATGAGGCCGGATCCTGAACTGGTCTGAACTGGCAAGCTCCATTGACTGCACTGGAGTTTCACCCATTTACATGAGCTTAGAATCTGGACTGTTACGTTTTACCGCTCTCTTCGGGACAGAATCTCAGCTGGCATTAATAGATTGAAGTCAGTGGAGCTGCGCCAGTCTACACAAAAGAAGATCTGGCCCTTTGTTTCATTATTGTTTAGACTTTTGTTCATGCTCCAGTCAAATAACTTTACCCACTATATTCTTCGTAGATACAGACTGTATCTCTCAGAGTTTCCAGATAAGGGTCTGGATTAATCAAAGCAGTGATGTGTAGATTTTTTGCTTTTTCATCTTTACAGTGGTCCTCCACAGAGGGGGTAGCCAGCTTTGAAACCATTGGGATTCCTGACACTTTTTCGCACTTTTTATGTGACTTCCACATAAAGACCTGCAGGGCTCACATCCTACCAGGTAGTGGGAATTGGACAGCATGAAAATTACCTGTGTCTGTACTCTGGCAGCTTTGTGCCAATCATCTAATTTAGTTTCCTGTACGTAGCTTTCAATTCACAGGTCAGGGAAGCATGGAGTTAGTTAATCTCTAGATACAGAATTGTATCATTCTGAATAATGTATCCTGCCTGATTAATAATGGTGACAGCAGGGTCTTGAATGTTCAGCACACTTTGTAATCATCTACTCAGCCATACATATTCCCAAATTTTAATAAATTTTACTGTTTGCTAATTAGCACTGTTTTTCTTGAAAATACCTTAAGTTGTCTCAGAAATGTTAGGAAAGATTTGATCTTTAGCCTTTGGTTTTCTAGAAGGCGATGATTAAGTTTCTATATTCTTCAATCCATTTTTGCTCTATATTTGTATCATATACACCTGATGATAATCTTACAATAAAAAATATTTTCACAGTTTGGGAGAAGGAAGGTGAAATTCCAGGGAATTTAATGAAGAGGAAAGTGAGGCACTGATAGTTTTGGCTCAAACCAAGTATAACAGAAGCAAGTAGTTTGCCGGATTCCTTACTGCTCAGCCATTGCACCTCACTTGTCACCTCTTGTAGTGCAGGCACTGTCAATTCTAATAGCACAGTGACTTAACGCTGTAAATAGAGGACCGCTAGGGACAAAGATGAGATGACTAAATTCATTTTTCCTTATAACCCAAATTACATTCAATCTCCAGAGATGAAAGTCTAGTACATAACTTGGTATGCAGTCCCCACCTAAAAAGAGTGACCTACTCTAATAATTTGGCCAATAATTAAAACTAGTCGAGAAATTTTTGACAAAATGCCAATTTGTTGAAACAAAAACTTTTTGTGGAAACACATCAGTTTTGACTAAACCTTTTCAGGTCAAGAGAAAGAGAGCCCCACCTCAGAACAGCCAATAGCCCAATGGTCAGGCAGAATGGGGCCTTGAATTAGACAAGTGCCCTAACCATCAGGTTATAAAGTAAGTCTCTCCTTCTTTCTCAGTCTCAACTGTTGGAGCTGTTCCACTTTATAATAAATAATAAAATATTCATTGGGCCAGTGTGAGACTGACTTTATAGCCCAGTGGTTAGACACTCACCTGGCATGTGGGAGACTCAGGGTATGTCTACAGTGCAATTAAAAACCTGCAGCTGGCCTGTGCCAGCTGACTCAGGCTTGCAGGGCTCAGGCTAAAGGGGCTGTGTAAATGCAGTGCAGACATTTGGGCTTGGGCTGGAGTCCAGGCTTCAGGGCCATATGAGGTGGGAGGGTCCCAGAGCTCAGTCTGTAGCCCAAACCCAAATGTCTACACTGCAATTAAACAGTGCCCCCAGTCTGGCCACTTTACCGGAGACAGCTGGCACAGGCCAGCCATGGGTGTCTAACTGCAGTGTAGACGTATCCTTAGAGTCAAGTTGCTGACCTGAAGTAGGCAGGCAGAGAACAGTTTGTGAACCTGGATCTCCCACATCCCAGCTGAGTGCCCTAACCACTGGAATACTGGCTATTTTAGGAGTGATGGCTCTCTCTCATTTTTGTAAAAAAATTTCAGAAGTTTTTGATGCAAAATGAAAACAGATGTTAAAACTTCAAAATGTTTCACAAAATGGAATTCTTGCTTTCTGACCAGCCCTAGTAATAGTGCAACAGATTATAGTTAGAAATGTTACCTAATATGTAAAGATAATTACGGGCTAGAACAGGCTTCTAAGAGAGGTTCTGGAATACCCACCACTGGAGGTTTTTAAAAACAGGTTAACACTGGTCAGGAATGTTCTAGGTACACTTAAACCTGCCTCAGTGAGGGGGCTGGGCCTGATGACCTCGTGAGTTCCCCCCAGCCCTACATTTCTGTGATTCTACACCAAAGACCCAGCTATGGAAGTGATTGTAAGAGTCTTGGGTTACAAGATACTGTTAGCATTGAGGAAATGACATCCTGAGCCTCCTGTAGGAAGAAATTAGGGCTTAATCCAAAATCCAATGAAATCAGTGGAAAAAAATCCCACTGATTTCAGTGGGCTGTGGACCAGGCCTTTAATATGCACCATGCTGGTACTATAGAAATACTCCTAATAGATTCTGATAAACCGTTGGTCCAGATCCTCATTTTATGTAATTTGGAAGTCAAAATTAGGAGCCCTATGTCCCACTTTTGTAGGAAAACTTAGAAAGAAGCTAAAAGTCAGTCACTTTGTGTTGTCACACGTCCCTGGATCAGAATGGAGCTTATTGTGTTAGACCTCACAGTGAGTCTGGATGCCATACTCATGGTGCAGATTTTTTCACAGCTATTGTGTTGAGGCAGATATGTGGTTGCCTAGAGTACTACACACTTGATGATGGTGGTGTTTCTCACCTAACCTATGTTGGCTGTATAGGGGAGCATATGTACTTCTTGTGGAGATCTTAGACTCCTCCCATCTTCCCAAAAGCCTCCATTTTGACACTATTCAGGAGGAGTTGCAGAGGTTGGGTGCAATTTTCAAAGGAGCCTAAAGGAGTTAGATGCTGAACTCCCATTGAAAGACAACACTGAAAAATCCCAACAGTTGTCTGCTGCTACCTGACCAGCACACATTGCCTTATGGAAGTTTAGAGAGACCCAGGTGGGTGAGGTAATCTCTCTTATTGGACCAGCTTCTGTTGGTGAAAGAGACAAGCTTTAGAGCTTATACAGAGCTCTTCCTCTGCTCTGGGAAAGAAACTTAGAGTGTCACAGTTAGCCTTGACATTTAGCCAAACATTATCTGTCTGAGCAGTTCACAGTCACATTTTACCATAAATGAGGCTATTTAATTCCAATAACTCCTATTTAATAATGGCCTTAAACATTTGTCTTTACTTCTCAGCTGAATTGTGCTAAAGAAGAAGCAGCTCTGTGTAGCTCAAAAGCTCGTCTCTCTCACCAACAGAAGTTCGTCCAATAAAATATATTGCCTCTCTAACCTGTTCTTTTGGTATTTTAGCCACTCTTTTTAATTACCAGCACAGTTTCATAAACTTCAAATCTCCATGACATATTTCTAAAGCTATAAATCAGTTATACTCCCCTCATCAATTATAAACTCTTTTCCGAGCTGCTGCTCTTGAGAATAAGACTAATATGTTACTCATAATTCAAGTAAACATTTCCATATTTCATGACAAAAAAGAACATTCTGAATTCTTTTCATCTCCCCTCCTGGGCTAAATCGTCACACAGTTCATTTCCAGACATTCATCACTCGACACCAGGGGTAGGACTTTAGTAACAAAAGAAGATCTGAGAAGAAAGGCCTCTAGAGCATTAACTTGCTGAGCTGCAACTCAGCTAAAGTTCTTTATGTGGAACAGAGGCAAAGCAACCCTGCACTCTACCTGCAGGACTTGAAAGCTTTAACCCCAATGCCTTTAAAGTAAGACCTTACAAACACATGCTAGCACATTTTGCTTAATTAAAAAGAGCCATTTTCTATAGAGGAATGGATTTATTTCAAAGTGCTGCATATTAAGAGATCAAATACACCACATGTTAAAAACAGCTAGGTGAATAATTTGTAGCAAAAAGAAAAGGAGGACTTGTGGCACCTTAGAGACTAACAAATTTATTTGAGCATAAGCTTTTGTGAACTACAGCTCACTTCATCGGCTGCTGTAGCTCACGAAAGCTTATGCTTAAATAAATTTGTTAGTCTCTAAGATACCACAAGTCCTCCTTTTCTTTTTGCGGATACAGACTAACACGGCTGCTACTCTGAAATTTGTAGCAAATTATTTGTTCAAAGAATTCTGCCTTTTTGCCTGTTCAAGAATTTCCACAAAGCGCTATTTTCTCAAAATTATTTTAAATTATTTGGCAAGTAATTTCAGAAAATAAGTCTTCGTTTGTAAACCGTTCATGAGCAATTGGTGAATATTTGAAATTTGCGTTGGTTAGCTTTGAGTGGACAAACAGGGGACATGGTTTTGTTCTGTTCACTGACTGGAAGAGTACCACTCTTAGGGTATGTCTACACTGCATTGTAAACCCAGGTCTGTGGGACTCAGTGTTTCCAAGCCCACGCTTGAGCATCCATGCGGCATTGTAAATCTGGGTTTACAACTTGTGCTAATGCATCCATACTGCACTACACAGACCTTCCACTTGGGTCTGTGGCTTGAGCTGCATCCATACTGCAGAATGGCAGGGCTTGGACCCAACTCACAGTGGGGCTCAGCTGGGTCCTAAGACCTGGGTGCTTGCTGACCCAAGTCAGATTGATTTGTGTGTGGCTGGAAGCGCAGCTTGAGCTAAAACCTGAGTCATATCCCGGATTTACTGTGCAGTGTAGACATACCCTGTAAGCCGCTAATTCAGGAAAGCATCCGCTTTCAGAACAGCATTTAAGCATGTGCTTACCCTTAAGCACACATTTAAGGCCCATGGAAATTAATTATGCTTAGAGTTAAGGATATACTCAAGTGCTTTCCTTAATAGGAATGGTCTTAATCCTGTCCCAGAATTGGGGCCGTAACGAGGTTTTCAGTGTGAATACTCACATTTACAAGTTTGAAATTCATTGTTTCTATGAATATTCCTACAGCCCCAGGGTCCTTTTGAGCTCCTCAGCACTATTGGATGCTGAAATAGTCCTGCCAGCAAAACACACCTACTTCAATCTCCATCTGGCTGAAAGGTTGCACCCTTTCCTATGAGGCACAGATCTAGCTACAGTGATCCATCCATTTGTGACCTCCAAACTTGATTATTGCAACTCATATCTAGGAATCTCGCCACGTACCCTGAAAAAGTTCCAGTGGATACACAGAAGTCCATCTGCTTACCATAGCTGTTCACCAGGAAAACATAATTCTGCTGGCTCTGCTTTCTGTCCTGGAACCCCAGATTCCTAAATTCCAAGGGCAAGAAGGGACTAGTATAATCTCCTGTATAACAAGGCTGTACAACTTCCCCAAGTAACTCCTAGAGCAGATCTTTTAGAAAAAAAATTCAATCTTGATTTAAAAATGGTCAGTGATGGAGAATCCACCAGCACCCTTGTTAAATTGTTCCAGTGGTTACATTCACTGTTAAAAATTTGTTTTTTTCCAGCCTGAATGTAGACTCTGGTTGAAGGTCTCTCTGTCCGTGGGATTGGCCCTAGTAACCTAAAATATTCCCTCCCGCACTGTGACCATGACTTCTGTGATAGAAGTGTTCCATTGGATCCATCCTCTGTCTGCCAAATGGAGAGGCTCATGAGTGCAGGAGATGGAATTTCCACAGAAGCCAGACTGAGGTTACAGAACTTTCTCACACAAGAGACAAGACAGACCATGGTCCTTGCCGCATTCCGAATAAGTTGTTTTCCTCACAAAAACACACATAAAACAAACAAAAAACCATAAATCAACCAAGCTATTTCATGTATTGTTTGTTAATTTTTTCTAGCCTTTAAATATGCTTAAATATTTTTCCTCTGAACAAGTTTTTATAGTTCCATAAACCCCCACAAAACTTTTAAAAAATAACCAGAACATGCACAATGAATGAGTCATACTCTAATAGCAATGCGCCTCTTCAGGGTGTGCATTAGTAGGCTACTGATTCACTTATCAACCTTCTTATTTGTGTCTTATAATGCACCTGAGGCATGCATCAATCGCCTAATAATGCACACCCTGGAGTGGCTTATTGCTGTGTTAAGAGAGGAAGTCAAGAAAAACATCTCAAATTATAATTGCAGGGACTACTTGGGTGAGTAAAAGGTTGTAATTTTGCTAGGTCAAGCAGGTTAACACCCTTACCCCTGCCAAAAGTGCCATGGTAGCAAAGCCCACATGTTTATAACAGGAGTCATTTACATATCTAAATGCCTGTTTGTATGTCCAAATTCCAATTTTTATATATTATTTACACACACGCACAGCTTGTGTGCTGACCTCTGATACTTTATTTCCCCCACTAAATCTGGTTCATAATGACCATGTCCTAGATCCTGCAACTGGATCTGTGAGAACAGACACTTGCTCTGTTGACTCTAGTGAGGCTCTCTGTGGGTGCAAAGGTCTGCCTGCCTGGGTCTGGATTGGGGCTCATAAGAGAGGGTTCTGACTTCTGTTTTACTTCTCATCCAACAGAAGGTACCTCCACTAGTACGGTGTCCCTTAGCAGCAGGTCAATTCTGTGGTGTATCAGAGAGAAGACTCACCAGCTGGCTCACCCGCAGCAGCACTCCTGCTGTTTCTTCGGTGTCCCCTTCCCACCAACAAGGCCAAACCACACTTCGCATATGACTCAGGACTGTATCTCTCTCCATTATGTACTTCTGTTAATTTTAAAATATTTGAAAACAAGAATGTCTTATTAGCAGGGCTGTATGAAGCTACAAATTAGGGTCTCTCCGCATTTCCAGTATAATACCTGTTTATCAGGGTTTATAAATCAAACAATGCTTTGCCAGGCTGAAATGAGGCATACAAAGTCTACAGCTAGGGAAACACATTTTCTCCTTTTTTATTAAAAATAAAATAAAATAGACACTTTTTGACAGTATTCAAAAAATATCACAAGACAAACTTGAATGATACCGAATAAAACAAACCTTTGTTAAAAGTCTGTCATGGCATTGTTTTAATCTCCAGATGTTACTGACAACTGAACAAAAACAAAAAAGGATCCGGGGGGGGGGGGCGGTTACCACATTTTTTTTTAAAATGGGCAGTGACTTTGTGTATCTCCAATTCTGGATGCCCAGCTTCAGACATGTTGGTCCTGATCAGCAGAGCTGCTGAATGCCCTTCACTCAACAGAAGCTGCTGGTGCTCCACCCCTTTGGGAAAAACAGGCCCTAGATGTTTCTAGTTGGGCACCCAAAAATTGAACCAGTAAAAAAAGTGGTACTTCTGAAAATTTAGCCCTAGATTGGCACTTAATTCTGAATCACTCCAGTTTCTTGGATAAAGAGTTCATAGACATTTTTAAAGAGCATTAAAAGAAAAACCCTACTGTACTGGTCTCCTAAGTATGTAATACATATTTTATCAGCCTAACTATATACTGAACCAGTTTAGATTCATCATACAAGCTTTGGAACCTTCCATGAAAACTGTTTTGTTAGCAGTGACGTGTCTTTAGGAGCCACTGAAAACCAGGCTAAATGTGCCCAGTGGTGGAAAGCCCATGGAAGAGCCCCAGAAGATGGAACCCCAGCGGTGTGGGGTAAGTGAGGAGAGGGTGAAGAAAAGAGCAGCACAGGACTCGCTTTTATTTTGTTTTTAAAAGAAAAACCATGACAGATAAGACATCAGAATACTTAAAAGCTTCCACCCTTCTTTCCACATTACAAGCTATAAAGAGCAACAGGGATAATTAACTAAATTTTAATGTGGGACAGTTCTTTCACCTCTAAAAAATTTGGCTCACTGCCCATTTCCAGGTAGAAGCATGTCCAAAGTAAACCCATCTTATTAATTTATTCCTGGTCATCTTTGTGTAGGCAGAGCCTGATGGTTAACCCATTAGAAAGACTGGAATGATTCCAGCTCTTACAGGACGAGTCCCTCGTGAGTAGGGCTGGCATGAGGGATGGTGAAATTGGAAAGGTCTAACAAATCAGCACAGGTTTCCCAAATGGCAGGAGTCAGATTGAGGTGTGATGTGGACCATTTAGCCAGCTACTCATTCAGATTTCAACTGTCACATCCGAAAATTGAGGTGAGTGATGGTATTTAGTTAAAAAAAATCTAAAGTTTTGCAAAGCGTACATAAGTTGGCAAGTTAGTATTTGTGCTTCCAGGTGTTTTGCTCAGCATTCTCATTGTGAGATGGCAATCATGCTTTTTCATTCTGTTTTGTGATCAGTAAAACCCTAAGCAGAGATATATTGACTTGGGGCTAGCTCCACACAGAGATTTAGGCACTGCAAACCCCCATTTTTAAGTGCCTTGTCACCCAGTGGAATCTACAATACTGGGAAGAGTTAAGCAGCCAAGAATGGGTTCCAGAGAAGCCAGCAGGCTGAGCGGGGAGCCACCTTGAGCTAGCCAGTAGGAAATGCCGAGGAGAGGGGAGTGCCATAAGCCCCACACCTCAGAGGTCGTTGGGGACCTAAGTCTGGGCTGAAGGGACAACACTGATCTCCATTCAGGATTCACAGCCCTGAACAGTCTCCTGGAGCTAGCTACCAAAGCCCTTTCTTGCAAGGACTTCCGGAGGAGGAGGTACCCTGTAGCACACTTTGAGCTACCCCATTTTGAAACAGAAGTAGATTAAACTATACTAGGGGGTTTTTAGTGCATGGTCCTAAGGCCCATGGACACTTAGCGTGCAGCGGGCTAGGGCAGGATAGATTCACACAACAGCTTGCCACAAACTAAGTGTTTGTCTAAACAAGTTCACCGTATAAAGAGAGTAAAGACAAACACAGTCCTCAGAAAATAGACTTACTGCACCAACAAATACCTCCCAGAACACAACTTTTTTTTTTTCTTTTTTTTTTTAAAAAGTAGGACCCAATACTATTTGGAGACATGTTAAGATCCCACCCCCACTATCACACTGAACTGTTTCCTTCAACACGTTGGGGGACAAATGTGTTTGCATTTGTCAAATAAGTGGGCCCCAAGGTATTTTATGTTTTCTTTTGTGAAGGATAGTGCTAATCAGGTTGGTTTTAGCCCTGTTCTGTGACATAGCTGAGTTTCCAGCTACACTACCCAATGGAACTATGCTTGAACATGAGTGGGGGGGGGGGGGAAAAACTGCCCAGGGCAATCATGTTGTAACCAGTTTCCTCCATCTCCCACCCCTGAAAGGTTTGTACCAATCCACACAGGTCCTTAAGATGCTTTTCTCTCTATTCCTCAGTTACAATTTGTTTTGTAACCTCTGTGATCACCTAGGTCCTTCATAAAACTGGATGAACGCTGACCATCATGAATTAAACCCTTTGCCCATTTATACCAGCTAAGAATCTGGCCCCTTGAGACAAATCCAACCCTAATTTAAATGGTAACAACTCAATGTGCTTTATGAGGGTGAAGTTTGACCCTGTAACTTTGTCGTTTATTTTGTGTGTTAGATAGTCACATGAAGCCACTTTAAAATGCTATTTTGTAACCACTAGAACATTGGCAGTTTTTATATGGAAGCATTACTGATCAATTGCTTCACACACAGAAGAGCAGTTGAAGCTTAGTTTCTGAAATATTTTATTGCACCCTGAAGTGCTGAAAATACCATGTAACCAGATTAGCCATGAGAAGAGTGGCAATTTATATCTCCATACCCTTTCATTGCATGCTAAATACATCTGAGCAGAATCGTACCATTTTTGGACATGAACAAATGGTATGTGCATCAGTACGTCCTGGTCTGTTATATCTACATCAGACACCGTCCTTTTCTGACCTCTCAAGAGAGGAGGTGGAGTCTAATAAGTCTTAGGTGATATTTTTAAATTGCATCAAATTCAGTTTAGCTTTCCTTTGCTCATCTGTTAGTACAGTCTAAAATCCATGCCCAAAAAATGACAGGCTGACATTCTGCATATTTCCAATAGTCAGGAATATGCTTTGGAAACCGCATGAAACATTGGAGAGGACTTTTGTCAGGCTATTTTTATTATGGTAGCACCCAGCTGAAACTCGGACCCCACTGTGCTAGGTGCTGTAAATATAAATGCTAAGAAAGAGTCCCGGCCTAGAGTTTACAATCTAAAGAGACAAAGGAAGCATTATTATCCCCGATCCATGAAAGTACTATATGTCGAGACTGCAATCACTGGGTGTGACTGCAGCTCAAGCCACCATAGCCAAGCAAGCTTGGATCCCAGAATAATGAAGCTGTTGCAGTACAAACTTGCTACACTAGTAATTACACAGGGTTCTAGGTGGGCTTGTTCAGCCGAAGGTGAAGCTTCACTGCTACGGGACCTAAGCCAGCTAGATTAAAGATAGCTTGCCCTCTTGAGCTCCAGTCACACCCAGGGATGACAGTCCAGACATATCCTTAGAGAGACCGCCCAAGGTCACATAGAAAGACTCAAGTAAAGCCAGGAATTGACCCCAAATCTCCTGCGTCCCAGTCCAGTACCGTAACCACAAAACCACCCCTTCTCTTCAGGAGCTGTGCTACTTTTAAGGATTAAGGCATGTCTTAAATAAAATAGTAAGACAGCACTTTTCCATTATATATCCCTGTCACTATGGTTCCCTTAATGGGGGAGAGAGGATTTAACTTTGTTGTAACTATGCTGAAGACTGCTTTGTTAGCATTTTAATGTAGCTCCTGTGCTCGCGTCTACTACCTCTTGACATATAACAACCTTCTCTCCATTTTAATTACACCAGACAGGAGATTACGGGCACCACTGAAGTCAATGGGAATTTTGCTGTGGACTTCAGTGAGAGCTGACTGTAGCCTTTGTAGACAGGTATATTAAGTTTTTTCTCAAGTAATGGGTTTTTAATTATACCATCCCTTTCATTGTAGAGTTTTCTACCTGTTTCACAGGGAAGGTCAGGCACCAGCTCAGCAAGATTAAGATGTGGCCATACTGAAGCATTAGTTCCTCTTATTTATATCGATGACAGCATCTGAGCCAGACTATGCACCGAACAATTAAACTCCAAATTTGTTAATCCTAGCCCCTTCCTAGGACTGTATGAGCTTGGAGTGTCTCCGGTTACGTTTTTGGATGTTCATATCCCATACAATACATTTTATTAAGTTTTCTATTAATAAGTCCATTAGTGGTATCATTGGAAGCATAACATGCAAATGCTGCAGTTTAACTCAGGGGCTACTGCCATTTTAGCTATAGGAGTCCAAGCCCATTCTGAAGGTGTGTGTTTGTTCCAGTGGGGAGGGAGGGGGCGGAATGAATTTTAAAGGATTTCCAAACAAGGCACCCAGCGGTACGTCCGTACCTGATTGCTGTGGTGATGAAAGGGAGCTCCTCCACACCCTCTATTGGGAGCTTACGCCTGGGATCCTGACCACAAAGTAAACACCCAGTCTTAGCCTCCCGCTCTCTCTGCTCCCTTGCCCGGACCACTTTTTCAGATCTTTTCAGAATACTTTTCTTAGCTTTTTTGCTTCCCTCTTGGCTCAGAAATGTTTGCACAGTCATCATTGGGGCTTGTCTGAAGCCAGGAATAGGGTAGCATTGGACCAGAAGCCTGTCTTAAAGGGGCAGTACACCCTGTTACACCCCCAGAAAGCATCAAATATTAATTTTATTCTGTTTATTCGGGGAAGGAGTTGGAATGGGGGTGGCGAAGAGGTGGGGCAGGGGCAGGGCCTCATGGAAGGGGTGGAGTGGGG